CTCAGAACAATAAATCAATTGATCTGGTGCTCGATATGCCTTCTTCCTCGTTCGATATCAAATGAATCAGACTAAACAGGAGCAGATAGTGGCTTTTATTTACAAGAAGGTTTGGGTCGAAGCATCGGAACTTAATGTCAAGAACTGGCTTAAAACAAGGCGCCGAATACTAGGTTCACATTTGGGAAACGGAAAAAATCACAGTAGGTACATCGGAAAGTTGGACACGTGTAAATGAATTGGCGAAAATTAGACCGACAGACAGTTCGGGGCACTTATAGCTCGTAAAAGCTCCCAATTGGTAAACATTAACTTGATCCAAACAAAGCAACGATTACAATCCTTCGAAGGTGATCTATAAGTTGATTTGAAGTTGATTAGAAATTGCAACAGCTCTGGCGTTGGCGCTGGGATGGTTCAGAAAGGCGATAGGTTTGTCCACGTTGGGAGTTGTCCTGATCTTTGGGCTGCTTGTTGAGGATGGCCCTCGTGAGCTCCATAAAGGCCTCCTCAATGTTTGTTCCAAGTTTTGCGCTGGTTTCAAAATGTTTAACCTAACAATATAACCTTCATAAATGTACTGACGTACCCCGTATTTCTCAGCAACTCCTTTGCCTTCGTCAGAGGAAACTTCCCTCTGTTGTGTCATGTCAGCCTTATTTGCAATAATAATAGTTTCTACTTCGTATGAAGCCAGATTCTTGATGTTAGACATCCATTTGGCAATATTTTCAAAAGACTTTTTCGAAGTTACGGAATAAACAAGCATGATTCCCATCGCACCCCTGTAGTAAGAGGCGGTGATTGTCTGAAACCGTTCCTGACCAGCAGTATCCCAGATCTGTTGTGTAAGAGTTAATTTTTTCAAGATGCGAACCTGCAACTTAATCCGCTGATCCTCTAACTCAACAGTTTTGATTTTGAAATCGATGCCAATAGTCGATATAAATGAGGAAGAGAAATAATCTTCCACAAAACGGAAAAGTATGCACGTTTTCCCGACC